TCAAAGATCTGCAAAATTTGTGGTTCAGGTTCAGGTTCAGTTCAGGTTCATTGAACCTAAATTTGAACTGAACTGAATCTAGGAACCCTACAAACAATGCAAATTATGAAGATTATCCAGTTTATAATACACTGAAAAATATTATAAATTCATCAGAACAAGACAAAACTTCACAAATAAGAAAATTTGACTATCCAAATTATATCTTTGCTTTTTTTTCGTTGAGAAGATCTTCAAACTTAGAGAAATTTTTAAACACTTCAAACTTCATTTATCAGCATTATATAGAAACAAAATCTTTTTTAATTCTGAATTAATATCACTTTATTACTTCAATACAAAGATTTCTTTTTTTTTATTTAAAATAAACATTAGAAATTTTTTAGCTAATTTAAATTTAAAAATCGTGAAAAAAACTTTTTACCTCGCAATAATCTTAATGCTCTTATTTTATATTATATTCTTTTTCTGTCCTGATATTATATCTATTGTATTCAGGAAATTTTCCAGAAGGGCAAGATTCTATTTCATTGCATCAACAATGAAAAAAATTCTATTGTTATATTTAATGTTCAAATTTAATTCTGTAAAGCACAGAATCAATGAATCATTATTTTCAAAAAATACTAATGAAAGTTTAAACCCATTCACATCCAATCAATTTAATACCATAATTGAAACTTCATTATATGAATGAAGAAACCAGAATATTTATTTTCCCATTTCTTCTGTACTGATTAAAAATTCTTTCTGTTCTAATTATAAAATAAGAACAATTAATAACTTATCTCTCGATTTTGAAGTTATCAAAATAATAGAAAGTCTCTCTATTCATTATAATTAATTTTATAAAATGCTATCTTTTGAGAATCTTATTATAGATTTGCATTACTTTGGTTACTCTACTTTAAATATCGAAAATGAATATTCCAAAATTCTATCTTTACAAGCACTAGAAGTATCTGATCGATTAAATCAAGAATTAAAATCATCTGAATGACCAAAATCGAAAGAAGCAACTAATCAATTTAATTCTACTACTAAATCAAATGTAAACCACATAATTATAAACAACAATATAGTTTCAAATTATAAAGCTGCAGATAAGATAGAGAATTATGAAGATAAAAAATACACTATTGATAAAAAGAATTTTACTATTGATGAATTTCTTGAATACCTATCAGAACAAATTGAATTATTACAGAAAAATAATTATCTTATAAATACTTCCTTTTCTCTTGAATTCAAAAAAACAAGTAAACTTATTCTTGAATTGCAAAAAGATATTGAAGATTTCGAAATTTTTCATTTAAGAAAAGAGTTTGGAGAGTATTATGATGGCATCTATTGTATTGATTGAGTCTGTACTATACATGTTGGCAAAATCCCGACTTACTATAGTTTGGGATTTGTCTGCCATCCCAAATCCCAAATTCTAGTATAACTAATATCTCAAAAACTTTATTAATAATCTTTATTTAAACAAATTATATATATTCTTATAGTTATAAATAATATATTTACAAAATATTAAGATTATTTATTTGATTTAATCTTTTATAAATAGCAATTGTTTTTTTATTATTTAGAATTTGTCTGGGTTTTGCCAGCAAGTATAGTCTGTACAGAAAATTCTCAGCGAATTTCTTGTCGAGATTTATTTAATTACCAAGTTAGAGCAGAATATAATAATTTAAAAACTCAGCAGAAATTGTATTATAATTACTATAATTCATTTAATTATTAGAAATTATTTACTATTTAATTATTTTTAGACTAATAATTTCAAAATAATTATTCTAATTTTTTTTATTTCACCAAAAAATCAATTTAGTGTAAGAATTTAAATTAGCTAAATAATTGGTAAAGTTATATTGTTTATGGCTCAGGAGACATGCACTTACCATTACTATCTGCTTTATTATCAAAGAGCAACTAAATATTTGTGGTCGAATAAAAAGCCAAACAAGCTATCAATTATTCCAGTATAGAGGTTTATAGCTAAAAACATAATTGATAAGTAATTTTTTTTAAGGTTTATTTATCAATTTATTATTAGTAATAACACGATCTTTTCTTTAGAATATAGTTTGCATAGAATTTTGCTATAAATGACTTGCAAAATGAGTTATTTTTAGTAAAAGCCCGAATATTTATAGCTTAAGACTAGTTTAGATGACGAAGCTCTGATCAATTTTCCAGTTTATAACAGAAATTCTTTGGTTCGAGATGACAAGTGCTAATGCCTCAGATAAGTTCATGAAATTTTTTCGTTAGTCAGAATTGCTGGTAAAATTTTTCATAGCAATTCTTTCTTGAGTTATTCAATATTAAGCACTAGTCTTAAGCCATTATTTAGCCAATTTTTATTTATTTATTTATTTATTACTCAAACCAAATCGTTCATATTTTATCAATTTTTATTTAAAAAAAATTTTCTTCATTATTTATTGCAACAATTCCATTCCAAAAATTTTTAAATTATGTATTAATATTTACAATAAAAATGATAAACAATAAAATTACAGATTCTATTTTCTAGTAGTTCTAGTGAATGATGGTGAAAGCTGCTTTACAGGCAAATGAAAATCTGTTTTTTGGGTTAAAATTTATTATTAAAAACTTGCGTCATCATTATCAACTAACAATAAACATGGCTGAAATAGTCAATGGTTACATGCTTCAATGCTAGAGTATATCCTATTCACCAACTTCCCAGACATACGCTTTCTAGTATTTTAATACAGAAAGATCCTCTCTAACACAGACAGGGCCAGTACTACAGGAACATTGATAACTAATAGAGGAGAATGTTCAACCAAACGGTTGGCCCAATGTGCTTTCAATTCTCTATCAGATTTCATTGCACCAATATAGTAGTGTAACTTTGGATATACTATAACTCGACAAGTAACTAATAAGAAACTCATCTGTAAGATTTTTGAAAAGAGAAAAGATTTTTCATTTTTTTTCGTTTAAATAAGGAATATCTTTGCCTTCTTCGCCTTGTATCCTCCTTTTATTTTGGGATGATGCAGAAACGTGACGTACGACTTGAAGTGCTGTTAAAGTAATTAAGAGTTTTAGATTGCTTTTAACATTTTTTTTTTTTCAGCATTTTTTTTAAAAAAAAGTGTATACATTAATTAAAAATAAATTTATATAAGGCTAGTGGCCTCTTATGATTTCGCTTTGAAGTCATATGGATATACATTCCAAACAGATAACAAAAACACTTAATTGTGAAAATCACTATTCATAACATTCATAACATGCTAAGAGTTGTCACACTTACCTTAAACTAATTAACTTAGTTGTATATTTATTTTATATATTCTGAAATCTTTATGATACTGATTTAAATAATTAATTGGGGGTTATTGATTTAAGAATTTATTTTTCTTATTATTAGTTATTTATATATACTGAAAAATTATTCATAATCTTGTTATGGTATTATTTGATTACAAAAAATGAATTAAACTCAGTTGTTCTTATGTTTCACAATGATTGGTGCCAAATTTATTATTTTAAAAAGATTTAATATTATTTAAAAGAATAAATTTGGAATATATACTATTATTTATATTGTAACATTGTAATACAAAGAACAAAGCACATGCTAATACGTGACTTGAACTGAAAAATGCAAAAAATTAGGTTTTGAGAAAATGAAAAAATTTTCTTCTCTAATAACAAATTTTTTTTATATTATATTAATTCTTACTTACAGGATTAAAGAGATTAAGAATATCTACCTTTTATTTAAACAAAGATTATTAATAAAGTTTTTGAGAAATTAATTTAGAATGAATTTGGAATTTGGGCATGGGCCAACTTGTATAGTATGAGTGATAATGCACAACATTTACATAATTCATTCTTGAGAAATTTTTCTTTTTTTTTTGAATAAACAAGTTTTTTTTATAATTATATTGCAAGAAATACAGAACAAAGCTAGTATGTGTGTAATGGAAATAATGATTCTTAATTGTTGAAACTCTTTTTAATAGATAATGTTGAATTTTCAGCATCATGGTTGGTAAACAAGTTTTCTTCCGCAAGCTAAAAAAACTTTAAAAGAAAATAAAACTCAAAAATATTAATATCAAAAAATTATTTAGAAACTAATAAAATAAAGTACTAAAAATTTAAAAATTTTATAAATGTGAACTATTTAATACATTAGTTATAAATTCTTGTTGCTGTTTAGCACTAAATATATTTAGAAAAAACACTGGGTTTACTATTTCTTCGTATTTTGTAAATTTCTCTCTTTTTGTATTTAGGTTAGTTGCTGAGGATTTTATTGTTTCCCACTTCCGTTTTTAGCTGATAAAACCTTGAAAGTTTTATAGTATATTACTTTATTGAGTTCAAATATTGTATCTAAATTGTATTTTTTATTGGATTGTTCTAATAAAATTATTGCTCGATCAGCTTCTGTTCAATTTGTTAATTGTTCAAGATTCTTATATAAGCCTTTATATCTTTAACAATTGATATAGTAAATCCTTTTGAATATCTGAATGTACGGATGTTATTGATATTATTTTTTTTAGACATTTTTAGTGAAGCCGTAAGTTTGGATTTCTTAGAGAGCAAAGATTTTTTGAACAAATTATGTGATTTGTTTATTATTTAATATATTTTTTAAAATCTGAATAGGTATACAGAAAAGTTAACTTTGCTTAAAAGAGCCCTTTTATAGCAAACTTGATACCTTTTTGTTATTTTATCTATTATATGCAATATATAAAATATATATAACTAATAATTGTTAATATAAATTGTACTCTAGTTTTATAGTTCAATTTATATTAACTATTAGTTTTTTGGATCAAGCCTATTGTTTCAGTGCTAAATTTATAATGTAAAATATTTAAATATTTTAAACTTATATAAAGTATTTATAATTTATAAAGATTATAAATTAATAAATTCAAATATTCTATTTTTACTAATTTATAGCGCCTAGTCATGTGATTACATAATCGCTTATGTTTCACATTGATGCCAACTTGATTGCAGTGTAATACAAAGAACAAAGTGCATTTAATACGCCTCAATATTTATAGAATAAAAATTACAAGATATATTTTAATTATTAAAACCGGTTTATAATTATTACTGAAATCAGTTATACAGTACATAAAAAAGTTTTTTTATTTTTGTTACAATAAATAATTAAAATTTTTGTTATACAAAAAATTAAATTTAGTAATCTCTCTTATAATTCACTTAGTAGTATAAAGTGTTTGAATACACATATGTATATACTAAGCCTCAAAGTGCTGCACGATAATGCACATTTGTGAAAAATCAGATGTAATAAAATTTCTTTTTTTTTGAATAAACAAGTTTTTTTCTTATAATTTACATAATTGCATTGCAGGAAATACAGAATCATAAAGAACAAGCTTATTAAGCCTCAAAAATGCTAATATTTTGCAATATTAAATTACATGATTATAGCCATTGCTACAATTACAAAATTAAACTAAACTGTTTATTATTGTTCTTATGTTTTACGAAGAGGTTTGTAATGTAAAATGTTTCAATATTCTATTATACTTAATTGCATTGTATTACAAAGAACAAAGTGCGTTCAAATGCGTATGTACTAAGCCTCAAAGTACTGCATGATTATGTACAACACATTCAGTCTTAAGAATTTTTTTTTGAAAAACAAGTTTTATGGATAAAAAAAACAAAGCATTTAATACACGTACTAAGCCTCAAAATTCTGCGCGATAATGTATCTGGTCTTGAAAAAATGAAAAAGCTTCTCTTTTTTAACAAGTTTTTATACAATTATTAAAGATTTTTTACAAGAATAAGTTATGCAAAAGTTGGTTTTCAATAATTTATTTAAATTGATTAGAAATACCTTCTAGACAGTACAAAAATCTCATTGTTGATTAATAAATTGCAAAATGGATTTCTTCAATACCATTTGCTATCTTATAATATTTTTTATATATTTGTTATTTAAATTCTACTATTGATTTGTTTATCTATTTGTCGAAAACTAAAACCACTCGAGAAGTATTCACTGAGTACCTGATAGATAATGATGAATTTATTTATGTAATATATGATGACAAAATGTTAGAAAATGGGAGTCATGCAATAAAAGAAGTGAATAACAATATTGCTCATACAAAAGAAGTACTTAATCACAAAAAACCATATGCTCAAAAAAGTCAAAAAACTGCCCTATTGCAAGCAAATATTCAAAACTGTTCCAAAGATAAATCAGAAAATGAATTTAAAGAAAATATCAACAATGTACTCCAACAAAATGCAAATGTACTTCTCATGAAAAATATAAATGAAGACATATCTAAACAAAAAAATAAACAAAGTAATAGCCCAAAACTAGTTGACCAAGCAAATTTTGTTTATACAAAACTTTCAAGCTATAATGTAAAGAATCGAAGTTTAAAAAAAAGAAGAATTTTGGCAGATTTAGAAATAAAAAGACTTTTAAATAAATTGGGTTCAATTAATCCATCTTTAGCCAAAAATGGTGCCAATTCTTTCATTTCTTTAACAATTGCATTGAAATTATTTAATCGAGTTTAATATATCTCAATAATATTATATTTTACGAGTTACACTTCAATTCAAAAAAAAAAAACAATTCATAGAATAGTTTAATATCAAATTAAATATAAAATAGATAACACTTCCAGCAAGTTTCAAAGGAAGAATTAGCTGTACTCAAGTAATCGAGTAATGCGATGCAGTACAGTTTCATGTGACTAATCAGAATTGCGCAATCAAAATTGGATACATGAAGTGGTGTTGCTTCACATTTTGCAATTATGTAAATATGGTTAATTTTTTGTCTTTCGAAATTTCACAAGAGGATGTTACCTTCTATATTTAATTTTTTTTTAAAAAAAAATTACATTAAACTTAGTCCTTGTAATATGTAATATAAAAAGATTTTTTTTATGAGTTTATTATAAAATTTACATGTCTTAAAAAAATAAAGTGCTAATTTTTGCTAGTCAATTATAATTTTTATATATTTTTTTAAATCGATTTTTTATATTCGTCAAAATACAAAAGAAGCCAAAAAATAATAAAAAATAAAAACTTTCAGAAAAATTATTTATTCACAAAATTCATAATATTTTACTATCTAAAATTAATAAACCTTTTTATACAACCTACATTTACTATAAAAAAAAATTAAAAGTACTTTATTTTTTATTGAAAAAAGTATTATATAAAAAGCAATAGAACTAACAAACACACCTAATTCTCAATTACTATAACCAATTAATTAAAAACTATTAACCTCTCAAGAGTATATGTACTTTTAAAATCAACAAAAATATAAGTATTTGTTAAAATAAAATATTTTGATATATGTTCCAGATTCATGATAAAATCTCTTTTTAATATAGTCCTAATAAAACAATCCATCCAGATAATACATTATATATTCGATTTTATCGGCTTTAATGGTATTTTCATAATAGTCAAAAGAAGTAACATTTTGAAATTTCACAAATCTACTTTTCAAATAACTAATGATCTTTGCATACTCTGCTTTGATAAAAAAATTCACTATCAAACAAAATTGAGTCATAGTAAAATTCAATAGGAGTGTCATCGATAAGTTGAAAATATATATTTAATATTTTATCATTAGGAATTGTTAAATACAAAGGAGCAATTATTTCATAGCTTTCAAAACTAGAAATCTCTTCACAGATTTTAAACTCTTCGTAATCCATTTTTTTTTAATCCTTTTACGAATCAATTCTTTTTATTATATATAACTTAATCATGTGTAGAATTAAAATTTTCAATCCTTTGCATAAATTTTAAAATTATATTCGTTATCCTCGTATTTTTAATTAAAGCCACAATATATAATTTATTGAAAATTTTTATCAATCAGAAAACGCAACAATAATAAAAATTCAACATCACTTTCACTTTAAAAACCTGTATAAATTTTAAATAATATTCACATTTTTCAGTAATAACTAGGTATGTTGAGTAGTCTGACCACTTTTAAATTTTACAAAACAATTTATACTGGTTTAACTAGTTAGTTTGTATAATAAAATTTAACCAGTTTAACATCCCTTGTTATACCCACAAACACATAATTTAATTTTTATCAATGATCAAAAACTATTAACATTTAGGTTGATATTTAGTATAGGTGGGAATATATAACTATTATAAGATTATTTAATACAAAAATAATTATTTGAACTAATCTAACCAGATTTGAGACTAGTTAGAGTTAGGGTGAGGGTCATAGTATAGTTTATAGTTAGCTTTGGGTTAGGGTTAGAGTTTTTTTATATTAAATAATCTTATAATATTTATATATTCCCACCTATACTAAATAAGATCCAAAATTTATTTCATTGCAATCATATAATTCAACCAATAATTACATTCAATAAAATATTAAACTTTTACAACCACCAATAATTATTCCAGATACATTTTTCAGACTTTGGACACCATTGTCCCTTAAAATGACATTTAATTTACTTTTTTGTTGAACAAATTGAGCATTCAATTTTTTCTATATTCTATTCTTCATTTGATTTTGACAATTTATTCTTCGTCCATCCCCATTCATCCATAGTATTTAATTCCAGCGGTTTATACTAGCAGTCTTGCGAATTATGAGTAGTTCGATTTTGATATCATTTATTATTTTTACCAACTTTATTACAGTATTTACACCCTTTATAATCTTTATATTTGACATCCTTCCAACTCTATCTGACTATAGCACCACAATAACAGTACAGTTTTAACATAGAACAACTTTTACAATAATCTGTTTCTTCAAACCAAATACGATTATTTTCAGAACAATATTCACATGTTTCATTGTTCATATTATATCAAGAACACTACTTTTCTTCAGATATATAAATTGGTTTTCCATTTATAATTAAATATCATGAATATAAAATTTATCATTATTATTAAATAATAAATTTATTCAAGCATACTCACAACTCATTGTTATTTCAAATTTATGAGTACTAAAAATTTTGAATTAATCTAATAAATATGTATAGATCACAATTTATCACATGATATAATTTGTTGTATAAATGGGATGCCATCAATAGAAATCAAGTAAATCTACTTTTGAAAAAAATTTAATGCTTTATCTTTAATAGCTTATATCTTGATAAATTTTAAAGCTATTTTAATGATTTAATATTCAAAGAAAGCTTAGTTCATAAGCTTTCTTTTAAATATTAAATTATCAAAATAGCTTTAAAATTTATTGAGATATAAGCATTAAATTTTTTCAAAAGTAGATTTGCTTGATTTCTATTGACAGCAGCCCAAATACTCAGATTTGGTAACCAAATTTTAGCTAATGCAATCTTGTTTCTACACGTGATATTGAATATTGTATAAAAAAAATTTATATATGTATATATATTGGATGTTATTATAAACTGTAATGTAAAACTACTAACTTATTGCTGTATATTTGAGGCAAGATATGTAATATATTACAGTTTACTTTATTAAGTATATTGTAATGCAATAGCATGCTGTTTTTAAGCATAATATGCATTACCAAAATTATTATAATACAATACAGCGTATTGTATATATATATATATAAATTTAGTTTTGAACCTAAAATTGAACTGATAATACGTATAAATAATCCTGGATTATTTTAAACCAGTGAATATCTATAGATTTAAAGTAACTCATAAATTTTTTTTTTTTAATTCTTTGACAGTCTTGTCAAAGCTCAAATACAAATTATTAAACTATCAGACTAAAAAGCTATTCTAATAATAACTAATTCAAAATTGCAAACCCGACATTATCTGGCTACATATTATGCATCCAAATGTAACTTGTCGCACCAACCCACATGTGAGTTAGGAGACGTTGTCAGCTCTATCAAAAACTAAACCAAAATGGAGTTGACCCACTCTCAATCCATTCTACAACACCTTTCTCAAGCAACCACTTTACCTCTACCATTCTTTTATTATTTTTTGCAAAACTTTCATTATTCAAACTGTCGTTAATTTTGCTTCTCCTTACTCTAGACATAGTGCTGCATCTGCCATCAGGTATAATATTCTTTACACAACTACTTCACTTCATTGCCATATTTATACCATTTGTCTCTTTCCAGACAACTACAGACCTACATCTCTTTTGCCAGATCTCGTCAAAAAAACTATTTTCAACGATTTTCTTGTACTTCAGCACAGCTTTATTTATAACTCTACTTGATAGTTGCCGGTTTAGAAGTTTATTGACTACTTCGTTTGGAATGAGCCCTTGAATATAATCTTTCCTTTGCTCTATCTTCTTCTCAACTGTACTACTGACTACTATATTTCTGAAAACTTCAATAGGAGTCCTCTTTCTATATACTCTGCCTATTTTGTTCTACATAATCGAGCATGCTATATCTTCAATTATGTCCCAACAAAAATCGTAACTACTACACTTAACCAAATGATTGGTCATCTCACTTTTAGCTGCTGGATATAAGTCAGGCCTACATTTCTTTAAACTGAAAACACTGGTAAATTCTCACTTATACACTTGATTCTAAATGCTATACTTCTACTTGCAATATAGGACTTGCACTTGTTTTCCATCACTTTTCTATTTTGGTACTATAATGCTTTCCAATCATGACTTGAGTCTTCATTACTTTCAAATGTATGTATAGCATATGAACTTCTTCACTCTGCACCAGTTTTAAGGCCAAGTAATGTTTTAGCTACTTTTCTTGTTGTTAACTCTAGTGGTTTGTTGTTTAAGCACACTGTGTATAACTTGTGGTGATTGTTTTCAACTAGTAATACCGAGACTTGATTTAACTGTGATCCTTCTTTTGCAAGCTGATCGGCCCTTTCATTCCATCTTATATTACTATGTGTTTTAACTTTCACTAGGTGAAGTGAAATATTTTTCAACTTACAATTTTCAGAATCTTGATTACCAAATCGACATTTGGCCTCTTGCTCTACAATCTTGTATCAGTTAACATTGCTGCATTAGACAAACTTGCTATCGCTACCGCACTATTGAGCTTAATTACCACTTCGCTATTACATTTAACCATTAAAAGTGATATCCAAACTGCTACTAACTCAGCTTTCGTTGACGATACCCATTTACTAACCTGAACCTTTCCTTCTAATATCATTTCTCTTTCACTACTATCCACCAATACCCAATCTGCTCCCATTCTACAACCTAAACTATCCTTCATTAAAGAACCATCTGTATAAAAAATATAATTACTACTCCCTTTGCTACAATTAATTTCTACTTGCTGTACTAACAAGGACTCCAATACAGCATAAAACCCTGCTCTACAACCAAACTTCTTTCATGCGAATATACAACTATAGTGTCGATTAGTGGTCTCTCACCAATTTTTTCTAAAACTATATTGCCCTCCAACTTGAACCCTTTGACTTCATTTATTACCACTGGTATTTTCTTATTTCTATTTACACCTGATTTTGGAATTGCCCCTAACACTTCTCTCTTACTAACCCTTTGTTGGTATATATCACCTTCAGATTCTT